AAATAGCATTACCATAGTGATCTAGCAATGCCACTTTGTGTACCTACCCAAAAGAATTGAAAGCAGAGTCTGGAAGGGATATTTGCACACCCATGTTTATAACAGCATTATTCACAACAGCCGAGGGGTAGAAGCAACCCTAAGAGTCCACCAAAGGATGAATGGATACACAAAATGTGGTGTATACGTACACACTGGAATAGGATTCAGCCTTAGCAAGGAAGGAAACCGTGTCACCTGCTACAACATGGATGAATCTCGGGGACATGCTAAGCGAAATAAACAAGCCCCAAAAAGACAAATAGTACACGATTCCAATTATATGAGGTCCCTAAAGTTGTCAAACGCATAGAAACAGAAAGTAGAAGGGTGGCTGCCCGGGGCTGGGGGAGGGGGACACGGGAAGGTGTTGTTTAATGCATACTGAGTTTTCGTTTTGCAAGAAGAAAACATTCTGGAGATCTGTTGCACAACGATGTGAATATACTTCTTAACATGATTCAGCTGCACCCTGAGAAATGGCTAGATGGTTGAATTTTCTGTTATGTGCGTGTGTGTTTTTTACCACAATAAAAAGAAAAATTAAACGCTGTGGCAGGCCACCGGTTTGCAATCTCTCCTGTAGACAGTGCTTCCCCCCACCCACCCCCCCCCGCGCCGGGCGGGCACCCCCCACTTGGTTGGACAACAAGGACCGTGGGGGAACTTGTCATGACAGGCTTGTCTTAAGCTCTCTTTTACTTCGTTCATTCGACAACACTTACCAGGCGAGCCAAGCTCCAGGCCCTGGAGCGACAGAGATGAGTGGGGAGCTCCCAGTCTGGGGAGGACAAGGACAGAAGCCGAATGCATGAGAAGATCGGCTTTGACAATACCAATTCAATGGGGTTACAGGACACAGGGTGACTGGGAGGGCGCGAGATTACAGGGAACGGACCGGAAGGGCTCCGAGAAGGGGAACTTCATCTGAGATCCCAGTGACAGAAGCCTGGGGGCCTGTAAGCATGTGCGAGAGCTCCAGGTGGAGGGAGAGGGAGGGTAGGGACCTGGAGGCAGGGGCAGGCCTGGCGGGTGTGCAGTGGGCAGGGGCAGGCAGGCCTGACTCGGGAGCCTCTGGCGGGGAGGATGGCTCAAATGTTCTCAGCAGCCCTGTGTGCAAGAAACAGATAAAGCCCAGTCTCCTATTGGCATAAATTTGCTTTGTGAATTCAAATGTATCATTCTCTTTTATGACCAAAAAAAAAAAATTAGAACAATAAACTGTATTTTCCTAGAGTCAACAGACACCCCTCAAACTCTTGTATTTGCCTCCACATATCAATAGCTGCTGAATCTCTGAATTAGCTCCTTGGCATGATTTAAAAAACACTGATCTGCCTGGGCCCCGTCCCCCACTCGGCAGATGGATGTACTGAGGCCCGGAGCAGGGAAGGAGCTCCAAGCAAGCCCAGGGCTGAGCAGGAGTTGGGTATGGAGGTGAGGGGTGCCTGACTCCCAGGTCAGGGGTCTTACTGGGGCATGGGACGGCTCTGGGCCCTGCTTCCTCTATGGGGAGAACCTGCTCCCCAACCTTTGGGCAGTCTGGACATGGGTGTGGGGCCTGGGAGGGACAGCTGGGGGTCAAGCCAGTGGCTTGCTGGCTGGGCCGGGGGTGTCTGGGCACCCTGGCAGCAGTAGCCTCCTGCTCAGAGGACCATCCCCTCACTTGCTGCTGGGCGTCCAAGCCCCCTTAGCCTTCTCCCATGATCCTCCGGGCCTGGCTCCCCCGCCAGGGAATCTCTGCATCAGACAGCCCCCGTTGGTGTCTAATGCTTGCTCCCAGGAACTCCGAAGGAGCTGGACGGGTTCTCAGGCTCCAGTGCCACGGCAATCCTCCCACAGCCTGTGCGGTGGCTGCTAGAGTCCCAGCCCGGCCACCGACAGGCCGTGTGGTCTAGGGCAGGCCGTGAGCCTGGCTGGGAAGGACACGGCAGAGCCACTAAAGGGTCCTCAGTTTCTCTGGGTTTCCTAAGACTCCATCCTGGATCCACACGTAGGACTTCCTACCACAGCCATAGCTGCCCGAGCCGATTTTCTTATTAGTGCTCTTTAAAATGACTTCCTTTTTATTTTATTTATTTTTTATTTTTTAAGATTTTATTTTTATTTGAGAGAAAGCAAGAGAGAGCAAGAGAGAGCATGAGCTCGGGGAGAGGCAGAGGCAGAGAGAGAAGCAAACTCCCCGCGGAGCAGGGAGCCCGATGCGGGGCTCGATCCCCAGACCGCAGGATCATGACCTGAGCCAAAGGCAGACGTTTAACCGACTGAGCCACCCAGGCGCCCCAAAATGACTTCCTTTTTAAACTGAAATTCATTTCCAAGACAAAGAAATGGAAAACCAGTGTTGCTTGCCCTAAGTTAAAACAAACCCAGCCAAACCAAATCAAATGATATTCCATAGAGCTGCCTGCTCGGGGCGCCGAGCTTGAGGTTTTCTCCCTCTGTGGGGAGGAAGGCAGAGCAGCGAGGGTTTCACGGTGTCAAAGGGCAGCACCCAAAAGAGCCTCTGTCTGTAACCAGAATCACTGAGAAGAAAACGACTTTGTCTCCCCAGGGGATTTAAGGCGAGTTCATGCTGCCTCTGCACGAAGTGGCACATCTATGGCACATCCGGACTGTGGCGACCACCCGTCTCCTTCAGAGTCCTGGCACGTGGAGGATTCCTAGCTGTGTGACCTTGGGTGGGTCACTCAACCTCTCTGTGCCCAGTTTCCCCATCTGTAAAATAAAGTTGGTAACAGTACCCACCTCACAGGATTAAAGCAGTTAAACACAGAAGCTCCTCCCCCCCCCACCCCAGGGCAGAGATGGAAGAGAATGAGGTAAAGGGAGAGGAATGGACGGCTCAGGAGCACCTGGGAGCCCCCCTGCTCTCAGTCCCTCACAGCCCCAGCCAGCCTCACCCTCAGGCTCCCCTGCATGTGCCCTCCCTCCTGTCCCTCATCCCCAAGCCCCCTGAGCCCCTCCCTGCTCTGGCCAGGCTGCTTGATTGACTTCTCGCACCAACCCTGTGAGGGAGCTCGCTCATCAGGCCCAGTCCACAGAAGGGGGCACTGAGGCCCAAAAAGGGGACATGATTCCTCTGTCTCGGTGTGCACCACACAGAGGGTAGGAGGAAGACGCAGGGGATTCTGGGCTCCCCCACCCCCATCCAGCCCCAGCCCCCCTCCCCACGCATTATCTCTAGGCCGCAGCAGCTGAGCCTCCCAGTATCTCTCTAATCCCCCAAATTTCCGGTTCCCCAAAGACAACTCAGGATGTGGGGAGGGAGGGGCAGGGAGAGGAGGAGGGAGACAGAGAATGAGAGAGAGATCACAGAGAGAGACAGAGAGCCACAGAGAGATGAGAGAGACAGAGACACCGAGAGGACAGAGACGATCAGAGACAGAGAGACAGATGAGAGACAGCGCTCCCGAGACAGATGAGCAACAGAGGGAGACAGGCAGAGATGGGGAGACACAGGTGGAGAGAGAGAGCCAGAAAGGGGAGGGGTGCCGCAGAGACACAGACCCGCAGGGAGACATGAGCGGAGGCCAAGATTCTGAGGCTGAGGCAAAACTGAAAGTGGCAAGTGGGAGAGGGAGTCAGTCGGTGTCGGGTGGGAGGCACGAGGTGTTGGGGGCATCCGGAAACAGAAAGGAAACTGGTGAGTGTGGGAGCCAGGTGGGAGAGGGTGAGGAAAGCTCAGAGGCCCGCTCAGGTGCACAGGGAGGCAGCTGGGGACAGGGACCCAAACACGCCCCCAGAGGGGCCCAGGGGGAGGAGACCAGAAGCCCCACTTCCCCCTCTTTCTTGGAGCCCCCACGGGGCCGCAGATGCTGCACGCGTGCACCCACTGGGCTCATGAAGCCCTGTGTCCTCGAGAAAAGGGACTGTGTTCAGGCCCAGCCCCTGCAGCCCCAGAGCCAGCAACCCCTGGAGATGTCCAGCTGGTGTGCTCTGAGTGGACTCAGCTGCCCACCCTGCTCAGGGACAGAGGAGGCACTTGGGAGGAGGGGTAGCCTGGCTGCTCAGGTAGGGAGCACCAACACCCTGCTTGGTCTGGCCACCTGCCCCCTGTGAGCCTCAGCTTCCTCATTTGTCCAAGGGTGGTCATGAGAAGAACGTATGCGGGGTCACGGTGAGGGTCAAACATATGTGAAGTGTGTGGCATGGCGTGGCATACATAGGTGCCTGAAGGTGGGCCTGTTGAAGTCGATGCTCCACAGCATCCTGTCTAGATGAGTCAGGGCCCTTTCATTTGCAAATGACAGAAACCCAGCTGGATGGAGCTGAGCCAAGTGAAGGAAGCATGTTAATAAACTCAAATAACTGAACAGTTCTTGGGTGGATGCAGTTTCAGGCACAAATGGATCCAGGACCTCAACCCACATTCCCAAGAACCTGTCTCCCCGACATGGCACTGCTCACCTCTATGCTGCCTTCTCTCTCTTGGGTGCCCTTCCCATCGTGGTCTCTGGCAGCTCCAGGCTCATGTCCTCCCTGTTGACTGGTCCCAGAAGACAGACAGACAGACAGACAGAGAGAGCCTTATTTCCCAGAGTTCTCGCAAAAGTCCCTGTGCAGAGCACAATTTACTCTGTGAAATTTCTCTTTTGGTTTGACTCTTTGTTTTCTCCTTTTGGTAAAAGTCTCACTTTTAACCAGAACATAGCCTCCCTTCCCCCACCCCAAAGTAGGCTGTGCTTCCATAAATAACTGTGGAATGTGCTGTGGGACCTTAAGCAAATCACTTAACCTCCGTGAACCTGTTTTCTTTTCTGCAAGGAGGGCTCCTCATACCTTACACAGACAGGAGTGTAGTGAGACTCACTGAAATGATGAGTGTGACACAAGTGCGTCTCAAGAGCCGTCCTCCTTTCTATCAGCAACAGCCCCGAAGTCTGGGAGCCTTCCCACCTCCAGTGCCTCAGAATTGGGGGTGCAGCATATGACACAGGCCTAAGTCAGCCAGCACACGACATTGTCCCGGCCAGCACCTGGTTCAGGGAGTCACGTGCCCCAAGCTAGGGCAGTTAGAGTAGTGTAGGGCTTTTGCTGGAGATGCTCAGACAGCGCGCTCCCCAGGCTGGGAACCCAGAGGCACCTGGTCTCTGGAGCTGCTAGAGCTGTCATGTGACCACACAACGGGAGCCTACAAATGGAGGCGTTAGAGAAAGGAGGGCTGAAGAGAAGCTAGAAGGTGGTGATAATATTCAGGCCTCTGACTCCAGCCACCCCTGATCGTTTCCTACCTTCTCAGCAACCAGGGATCCCCTCCTTCTATTTCTGGGGACACCTTTTGGGGCTATGGACCTCAGAATGAGAAGGTTTTACAACTGAGGTCCAACATCCTCAAAGGTTCCCAAAGTTCAGAAATCTAGTGGCGGAGTCGGGACTAAAACGAAGTCTCCTCCCTTGTATTCCTGTGCGCTTATCACCAAACGTGGTCCTCTTTCTGGAATCGTTGCTTATCAGCTCCGAGACTAAGAATACCAAGTAAACGAAGCAGAAGTAAGGAAAACCTGGAGAGATTTTCCTGAAGGGATCAAAGCGGGGGAATGGGTTGCGGGGCACGCACGAGGGAGGGGTGCCTGGGACAGATGGGCCACCTGCCTTAAAGTCTCCTCCGGGGTGTCTCTGAGAAGCAGTTAGAAGAGGTGGAGGGTGAGGGAACAGGTGAGTCTGGAGTTTTCTCACATGGGTTACTAGGTGCTCATCATTAGACCAGGGTGGCCTGATGGTGGTCACGATTTGGTGGACATGACAGCAGCCATGGTGATGTTAGAACTCTTTCTTCTGCAAGTGACAGACAGCCTGGCTCAAATTAGCCTAAGCACACACATAAAAAAGTCGATTGGCTCTTCAAGAAGTAATGGCTTCAGGAACACTGATCTGGGTGCTTAGGGGGGCGATCAGAATTCCACTTTTCTATTTCCATTTCTGTCCTCTGCTTGCCTCTGTGGTGCCTTCACGCACAGGTTTGCACAACGGAAGCCTGCAAACCCTGCAAGCAGAGACCTCCCCCTCCCCGGCCGCACGCCCAGGGCCTGAAGAGCTTCTCTTTGCCAGGAGTTCCACCCAAAGTCTTAGGAACGTGTCTCATTGGCCTGAATTGGGCCACGTGTTCCAATATCAACCAATTACTGGGCCAGGGGGTGGGAGATAACGGTTGGCCATCTTGGGTCTCCTGCGCAGCCAATCCCAAGCATCCAAGCGAAGCCGTGGGAACAAATCCGATGGCGGCGCGGCGTTGGAAGAAGGAATGGACGCTAGGAAGGCGAAAACAAAAAATTCCCTCTTTGGAGGTTATAAGATGGTCTGCAGATTGCTAATAATAACTTCCCCCCACCCCCGAAGTCAAAGAAGTTTGGGAAATACCAGATTAGGCAAAGAGAAACAGATTATTTTATCCCAGGATCTCTCCCCAGCCATGAACTTCCTACCGTGCGTTTCGTCTCTGCAAGGGAGCATGAGAGAACGCTGCTTTTCCCCGGCGCTCCCGACCACGGAATTCTTTCTTGAGAAGCTTCCCCCAGGATTCAGAGGCCACAAGATGCGTTTGGGGAAAAACAACACCGAACAGCACAAAGAGCCCAAGCCGTCACTGTCAGTGAGTCCTGGCCTGAGCGGCTGCTGCCGACACCTACCTTCGTTGGCTCAAGGATTGCTTTGGCCACCGGAAGGCAAAAGTTCTGGAGAATTAGGTGTGGGGACTCCTGGGCAGAGATGTGGAAGTACCCCCTCTCCCTCCCCAGGACGGCCTGGCCTACACCCACGTGCTCTGGTGTCACCCACATGCTCTGGCTGGCTCCCACCGTGCTGTCACAGGACCGTGCCCCAGGGCCCAATAGTAACTGGCTTTATAATGCACCCTTGTTGGACGCCTTCTTCTTCCTGTCTCACTCCCCTACTCCTCTGCTAGTGTTTTGGGATCACCTCCCAAATAAACCACTTGCACTAGGACTCTCACCTCAAGGACTGCCTCCGAGAGAACCCAAATCAAGAGAGCTGTTGCCTAGCGATGGCTTCTAGAAGCACCCAGATGTCTCCCCCAGCGATTCCAGAGAACACGCTCTCTTATCACTACATCGATCTTTCCTCCGACAACAGACTTCAAGAAAAAAAAAATTTATTTCTGCTCCCCAGCTTCCAGGAGATTCTTTCCACTGGCCACCCCGGTGGGCCCAGACACCCCAGCCCCGGCCCCACAGACATTGCATTGACTGTCTGTCCTGCCTGGCTCATCGACTGGTGGAAGCAAAGCCACATGTTCTTGCTGGTCCAAGAAGCAAAAATGGGAAGGTGCTTCGTGCCTCAGGGAATGCCCCTATCCCCAGTCCACCAAGAAATGGACCGGAGTCACCTTGGACTTCTCCTTGCCTCACAATGCAGGGCTGTCACCACGCCTCTTGCTTCGGCCTCTCGAGCATCTCATTCTACCACCTCTCTCCATTGTCCCTCCTTCTTTAGCCAGCCTACCACCACCTTTCCTGTACATATTCCCAACAGCCTTCTCTCTGCTCCCACCTCAGGGCCTTCGCACATGCTGCTCCTGAGGCTGGAACATCATATGCAACTCACCCACTTGGCCCAGACAGATCCGTGACCCTCAGCCTGCTTACAGTCTCTTAAAACGACCCTAACCCCTGCCCCCACCCATGCCCTCCTTGAGCCTTGGCCTCTATTATGAAATCGCTCAGATATGCAAACACTTAAGAGAATAATATTTCAGACGCTTGCAAACCCAACCCTGCTTAAGATTAAGACAGTACACATATCGCCGAGGCCTTCCTGAATGCCTCCCCAGCCATTCCGCATACTCTGCCGCATGGTTGCCTCTCCCCTGGACTTGGTATTCCTCGTCGCTTTGCCTATCTCGCGTACGTGTGTATCCTTGAACCAGATAATACCCGTTTTCAGGCTTTCAACTTCATATAAATAAAACAAGTTGTTTTCCTTTTCTCACTCCATATTCCCTTGGTGATGTTTATCTGCGCTGACAGGTGCTCCCCCGGCGCGTTCACTTTTACCTGCTGGGGCGCATCCACCCACAGTGTGACTGGGCTATAAGTGCTCCACCCAGTCTCCCAGTGATGGCCTCTGTCCACCCCTGCCCATCGCCGTCGCAAGGCCAAGGCCGCCCCAGCCTCTGGGACCCACCCCCTCAGCCTGTGGGCTATTCACTCAGGGTTTATACCCAGGAATTTGCTAGGTAAAGGGACCCACCATCTCCAGCCTTACTGATGCTGCTAGATTGTTCTCCAAGGTGCTTGTACGAACATACCTTTTGATAAACTTTCTGTTCCTTCTGTGCCCAAGCACAAAGGTGCCTCTCCCCTTGTCTGTTTCTTCCAAATAATCTCTGCCTGCTGACGTCCAGCCTGTCCAGCCCTCTCCCCAGGCCTCCCTCCCCCACTTCTCCAATCGGGCCTTTGCAAGCCTCCCTTGGAGAGCAGCCGGCACTTTGGACGACCAGCCAGAGCAAGGACGTAGGCAGCAGGGACTCCAGAGGCCAACAGCTGCGGATGGAATCCCGGATTTACCACTTTGGCTGTGTGCCTTTGAGCAAATCGCTTCTCTCTGGGCCCGTTTCCCCACCTGTGAATGGGGATACCCCCAGTAAACTGCTCAGAGGGGAATGGCAGTGATTAAATGCGATAAGCATGGAAACATGGCGGATGCTTGAAGATAAGTTGTTACTATTGCCTTTGAAGCCCACAGAGGACGCCGACAACTCTGTGCATTACTCTGGGCTACTTTGTTGTATGCAACAGAAACCCCAAGTCAAGCCGGTTGAAGACAACTGGGAATTTATTGGCCCACGTAACTGGGAAGCTGGAGGGGGTGTCTCGCTTCAGGTGTGCCTGGATCCAGGAATTCGGACTCCAACAGGAAGCTGGCCCTGTCCACCTCTGGACCATTCTGTCCTCCACATCGCCTTCATTCTCGGGCAGGCTCTCCAAGTAGGGGCTCTAGGAATATATTCTTCCAGCTTACCAACTGCCATGAACAAGAAGAGCTTCGCCTTCCAGACACTTCCTGCCCAAATCCCAGGGCCGGTCCTCAGGGGCCCGGGTTAGGTTACATGCCCAGAGCAGAGCCAGTCACAGTGACCGAGGCATCCACCAGAAGCTGCTCAAAGTGTGGTTCTCGTAACAGAGCTGTCAGAAGCCTCTGGTAGCTCTTTTGAAACACAGACTCTCAGGCCCCATCCCAGACCTACTCATTCGGAATCTGCATTTTAGCCAGACCTCCAAGGGAATCATCTGCACACCAGGGTCAGGAAAGGCTGCACTGCACATTACCTTTCAGTTGCCCGGGGTCCAGTCCATCCCCTTGTTTTAAAGATGGAGAAACTGAGGGCAGGGCGGGGCAGGGGGAAGCAGTCTTGTTCTAGGCATCCACCCGCCACCCGGGGCTCCCCCCGGCCCTGCCCTCCCATCATCCCAGCCGTGTCCATGGACTGTCTCATGGGGGGATGCACCGAAGCCCAGAAGTGGCAGCTTAGGTCGGACTTGCCTCACGCCGGAGTGCCAGAGCTGTGTCCCTGCCACCGTTAGGCCACTCCCAGTACCTGGTCAGGACCTTCCAGAGCGCAGCGGCCCCGGGGTGGGGGATGGAGACCCCTAGACACACACACAGGCTCGTGCACACATACACACACACACACACACACACACTCCCACACGGGCGCTCGGGCACAGCCCCCCCTCACACGGACTCCCACCCACCAGGCCCCCCAAAAGCAAGAGCGTTACAGACCACGTCAGCCTTTATTCTACTGCAGAATAGGGCTGGGGCCGGGGTAGTTCATTCTCAGCTGCGTCAGAAGGTGCAGTGTTGGGGGCACAGAGGCTGGACCCCAAAGTGACAATAAGTTAGGGGGGAGAGTCTCAGACGGATGTCAGGCTGGAGTCAGGGCGGGGGCCACTGGGACCCCCCCCCCCGAGTCCTGCCAGCTGCCCAACTCGGGGCTCCCAGGCGAGGTTGGTTCCAGGACAGGCATGGCTTCGCGCTGAAATGAGAGGGCAGGGGAAGGGAGGGGTTGTGAAGTCAGGAGGTCAGCGGGGCTCAGAGGGCTCCCCGAAGGAGTCGGAGGATAGGGCTGAGGGGGGGCAGGGTGGGGCGGGCGGGGCCTCTCACCGGACCCTCAGTTAAGCCTCTACAGATTCTCATAATCTGGAGCTCCCTCTTCCTCTTCGTCGTCTTCATCCTCCACCTTCTGGGAGCTCAGGATGGCTGGGAGGGGAGGGAGGGAGGTCTTCAGCTCACAGACAGTCCCTGTCCCCCCTTCCCCGACGGCCCTCACCCCGCAGGCTCCCAGAGATTCCGCCGCCCCCGCCCCCCCCATCCCCTCTCCCAGCCCAGCACACACCAGGCTCGGTCTTAGCCATGGGCGGCAGCTCCTGGGACACGTTCACATACTCCCGGCTCCCATCTGCAGGGGGCAGAGCAGAAGGGGGGGGCAGCCACGTGGAGGGTGAGAGAGCAGGACACTCAGGAAGAGGGCCACGGCAGGGTGAGGGAGGGAAGGGGGGGCCCCCAGCGGGCACCGGCCACTCACCCAGAGACACGTCTGCACTCTCCTCGCTCTCTAGGACGTTCACATAATCCTCCCCCGACTCCACTGCAGGAGAAGCAGGGCCCCCAGCACCGTCACCCAGGGCCCGCCTAAGCACAGACCCCCACGGCGTCCCAGCCCCAGACCCCCCCCCAAGATCCCAGAGGCAGACCCCCACAGCCAGCCCCAGGGGGGCCCACAGAGGCCTTGGCGACAGCGCGAAGTAGGGCAACCTGGCCAGAGCTGACGAGAGGGAGTGAGACCGTGGGAGGGGGCGGATGGCAGGCCCCGGCGTGTCCCCCAGGAGAGCGGCTCGGTGCCGAGGCTCGGGGTGGCACCGCGAGTCCCAGGTGCTGTTGCCCCCTGGCCCTGTCAGCACCTGTCGCCATGGGCGCCATCTTGGCCTTTAATGCGCACTTGTTTCTCCACGGGGGAGGCCGTGGACGAGGCAGGCTTTGGAGCCAGAGGGCCCAGGTTCAAGTCCAGCTCCGGCGCTCACAGTCGTGTAACCTTACACGAGATACCTGACACCTCTGGGCCTCGGTGTTCTCATCGGGAAGAGAGGGTGGGCGACGGCCCCCGCCTCCCAGGGCTGTTGTGGGAACTAACGCAGAGAGTATCGGAACGGGGCCTGTCCTACGGTAAGTGCCGCTGAGTGTCTGTTAAATAAATAATCCCTCCTGTCGTACAGTCGGGACACCCAAGGCGCGGGAGGGGGAGGGATGGGCTCAACAGCACCCGGGCGTCGTGGGGCTTAGTAGGTTAACACACGAAGCGCTCTCAGGAGGGCAGGTGGTCGGCCCCCGACAACATTAGCTCTTACCCTGATGCCGCCTCCTGAGCTGGAGGGAGGGACGATGAATCCATGAATGGAAAGAAGCACTAGCACAGATGGCAGTGGGTGCCCGAGCGGGCAGAGGGTACGGGGAACGAGGAGAGGGACGGAAAACCAGACATGGAAGGCAGCCTCTAACGGGCAGCGTGAGACCAACACGAAGGGAGAAAAGCCGCTCAAAGGAAACCGAAATGATGCCGGAAGCAGAAGAAAACTTCCCAACCCCCCACCCCGACCCCGCCGCCCGCAGAAGACCGGCCGTAATCAATATCCTCGGAGAGCGACAAGCTGACGCGGCGTCCGTGAAACCAGACAGGAGGCTCTGAGAAGGGAACACCAGAGACCGAGAAAGAGCTTCCGGTGGGAGAGACAAGACAAGAGAGTCCAAGAGAAGAGTGAAGTCCAAGAAAGCGCGCAGGCAGTGAAAGGGAAAGACCATGGAACAGGAAAGGGGACGGAAAAAGGGAGGAACTCAGAGGAGTTGAGCAGAAGTCAACCCTGAGGGATAGGTGTTGGAGAGAGAGAGAGAGAAAGAGAGAGAGAGAGGAGAGACGGTGGGGGGGGGGGG